TGAATCTCAAAAAAATAATAATTCATTAAAACTTTTTAAAAATCTTTCAAATTTTGTATAGACCATTCTTGAGGATACTTTTGAAGTGAAAACACAAGAGAGAAATATTACAATTATTTTTAGTTGTAGGAATATTTATACCAAATTTTAAATTTAAAGATAAATAAAGAATAAATAGAAAAGATCTAAAACACACTATATCATAGATATTAAAATTAAAAAAATTATTAGATAATTACATTTAATCATTAGTAACATAATCTATTCTTATCAAGAATTGTTTTATGATAATCATGTAAATTTTAAGATATTTTAAATTATTAAATAATTAATTTTAAATCCTCAAAAATATTTAATTTATTTTTTTTAAGATTTTTTTTTAAAAAAAAAATTTCAATAATTATAATAACATAAAATTTTTAATATTTTTTCTTATTTTTTAAAATTATAAAAAACTTATTAAAAACTTTTTTTTTGAAAATAGTATTTTATATAAATGAAATTACTTAAAAATTAAGAAGGTCCTGCTAATAAAAATTGTAAGAAAATTGATTAATTAATTATTAAATAAATATAAGAAATTATTTATTATATTTTTGTAGTTTGTTTTTGTAGTTTTAAAATATTGAATAAGTTTTAAATCTTATTAACTTTAATTTGGAATAAGAATTAAAAATTAACATATATTATTAATATTATAAGAAAAATGTATAATTTCTAATTTCTAATAAATTCAGTTATAAAAGAAGAAAAAAATATATTTAAAAATAATATATTACTACTTAAATCTTACACATTTTTATGCTTATCTTAATAATTTTTGTATAATAATTCTTATGTTTTATATAAATTGTATTATTGTTTTTAATAAGCATAATTTTTAAAAATAAATAATCCATAGTTCTATAATTTATATACTATAATTATTTTTATTCAAGTAATTTTCTAGTATTATAAGTAAATTATATGTTATTATATCTAACCATAAACATAAGTAAATACATCATTTAGTTATTTTACATAAAAGATAAATTATGAATAGTATGGAATATATCCATTAATTAGTAAAATTGATAAAAGATATAATTTAAAAGTAAATTAATATAAATATTCATTTCTTGTATTTGGTTTTGTAAATCAATTTTAAAACGTATATAACATATGAATTCTTTGATTTCTTATAATTTATAATAAAATTACATAAAATAAGCTTATTAAACAAATTAAAACTTAAAAATTCCTAATTAGTTTTATAGATTAAATTGTTGTAATGTAAAATGTTTCAGCTTATATATGTTAATATATCAATGAATACAATAAAAATTAGGCTTAGGCTATAAACACATCTCAAGTTATTATATACTTACTGCAAATTGCAATATGCATATTCAACAATATAGAGGCCTCTAATTGGTTGATTTGTTAAATAGACCAATAATTGTAAGAAATCAAGAAGGTGGTCTTAGGACTTGCGCCTAGACTAGAGATAACAGCTGGATATAAGATGATGACCAGGAACAGCGCCAAGTTTAGAACTTGTGCCAAGACTTCAAACAAGAGCTAAGAACAATACTAGAATTAGAATAATCAATAAGACAAGAAAGAGAGAAAGGAAGTTCAGGACTTGTATCTACATTGGGAAGTTGGGAAAGAGGTTTGAGACTTGCACCAAGATTAAAAAGAGGTCACACAACAGCCAATTAGAGGCCTTAGGTATGCTTGTAGCCTAAACTTAAAGTCTATTGCTAAACAAATACAAAAAATTGATATGATACTTAAAAATATTGCTTTAAAATTTTATTTAGATATCATTTAATGTTTTTTTAACTTTTTATATATTAAAATTGAAAATATAAGTTCCAAAATTAATTAGAACATGTTAAAAAAATTAAAGCATAAAGATTAAAATGAATTTGATAATATATATATATATATATATATATATATATATATTAATTTTTTAAATTTTTATTTAATTTTTAAATTTTAATTTTCAAATTAGAATAGACATTCATTTGGTAAAATAATTAATAAGTGTGAGAAATAATTTATTATTATTAATATACCATGATATTAACTTTTGATTTTATATTTTAACATCTAAAACACAATGTTGTGTTAATTTCATGTATATATTTCTTTTAAATCTGATTATACTTTTATTTTATTATTATGCAAAGTAAATAAGTTAAATATATATATAAAAAAATTATCTTTTCTTTTAAATTGGCTTTAATAATAATCTATAGTAATTAAAAAAATAGCCATTTATTAAAAACTCTATGATCATAATGAAAAATAAATTTATTTTATATAAATTAAGACACTGTAAGAGAATTGGTTTAGATATTGTGAGTTCTATCAATGTATCTTCATTGGTGGAATTAATAAAATTAAGGTTTTAAGTTATATTGATGCAAAAATATTAAGATTAACTTTTTATTTTTATATATTTGAATATTTATTAGAATTTAGAAGGATTTATAAGTTATTAGAGTCTTATTAAAGAAAATTTATATAAATAAAGTCCTAATAAGTCTTAGTAAGTCTTATAGGTAACTATCTTAGTTGATTTGGTATTTTTTCTTAATGGTATGAATTAGTATTTGGTTATTAAGACCAATGTATATATTTTCTTTATATATATATAATTCAATAAAAATTAAGAAATATTAATTAATAGATAGAAAAAAGCATGAAAAAGAATCTTATTTTTATTTAGATATTTATGCAGAAAATATAATTTTTAGTTGATTTAAATTTATTTTATTATTTTAAAAAATCAATATATTTTTTTGAAAAAATAGCCTTAAATTAATTTAATCATTATAAAAATATTACAAGAATTTTTAAAGTTAATTTAGAATTTAATTAAAACTATTAAAGAATATTTGGAGCATATTTTTAAGACTTTGATAAAAATAATTTTATAACTTTGGAAGGCCATTATAAAGAAATCGAATAAGATTTGAAGGCCCTTTAAGGTTCTTATGCTCATTGGGTGTTTTTAAATATCTTGGTGTAGCAAGAAATAGAAAAATTAAATTTAGTAGCAGAAAAGAAGATGACCAACAATTAGTGCTGTAGATGTAGAAAGGGATGTGCATATGTCCCATATACATTGTAGCATCTTAGATGTAGGTGCGAAGATAAGACTAAGGCCTCTTAGCCTCTTGAAGATATCCATATATACTAGTTGTGAATATTGGTAAGGCTCAAATCCTTAATTTCTTAAGAAGGTTACTATTGATGTAAAACTTATTTATTTAATTTTTTCTATTTTTTACCTTCTATCTATAAATTATTATAAACAACTTATAATAATTTGAATTTTAATGTTTTCTATATCATTAAAAAGACAAAATATTATCTTATTAATAATACACATTATATATTTACTTTTTTCTTTTTATTAGGTAAAAATCAAGTGAACAAATTGTAACTAGTTTTTAGGGTATAATTATTTGATGGCATTTTCTTTTACTTATTTTGTTCTTATTTTTTATTCATTTATTTATTTTTGCTAATTGTATCTTTCAATTTACACCACCAATTACAAGCAACTCTTAATTTAGGTCATTTTGTAATTTGGATTGAGGGGTGAATTTTATTCTAACAAGTACAAATAACTTTTAAAAACTTGTGCTAAAGATGTTGATATATCTAAAATAATTACATACATATATAAATTCAAAATGTTGTATATGTATTTTCATTTACTTGATTGACATGTATTCAATTATATACATTCTAATAAAAATTTAATAAAATAATATAGATTAATTAATTTAATTATTCACACATTAATACTACCATCTTTAACATTTAGTGCAGATATCAAAAAAAAAAAAAAAAAAAAAAAACACATGAATAAAAAATACATAAAAAACTAAAGTTTTTTTTAAAAAGTTTATTATATTTTAATAATTTATTTAAAATAAAAAAATTACAACTAAATAAAGCCACAAATGAATAAAGTTTGTATATATGTTTAAGGTGTTGCTTATGCTTAAGGTTTAAGGTAGTTTTTTGTTTCTACCACCAAAATTTGCCATGTACTACATATCATTACATTCTTTGTTATTGTCACTTCAATTTTTGCTATTGCCACTATAATTTATTCTTTTTTACTTTTTAATTAATTTTTATTAAAATTAAATTTATTTTCTATACAATTGATTAAAAAGTGCTCTTCTTTGCTTAGGATGCACATGGCACTTCCATATTTAATTCCAATATTTATCTAAAAATAGAATAACTAAAAGATCAATTTTTTGTATTTTTGGTAATCAATTAAATATTAAAAAATAATGTAAAATTTGAATTAAATTTTTTTTGAAGTAAATATCTTATTATTTTAAGAACAAAATGTAACTTATTTCTCTGGAAAATATTTAAAAATTTCTCTCTCCACCACCATCATTTCTTAAAGCAAAGAAAGGAAAAAATGCACAAAAAAAGAGCCATATTATTAACTGGTTATCTACAAGGAGGTCACATGGGGCATAGCAATATCAATTGGGGATGTAGCATTGACATTTCTCTACATCTATTATATAAAACAACTTAGATGTAATAACAAGAGATAAAGAAGTCATTTGATTTGTTATGGAGAAGGGAATATGGAAAACTTGAAGAACATGGAAACTATAGAACTTGGGAATAAGGAAGCATGAATGAATGGATGTACTTTAGATTGCAATGCCCAACTACATGAGTTTCAACTAGTGTATATATATTAACAATAGGTAGGAAGTTGTGGTACCAATAGCATAAATTATTATGACATAAGCATAAATAGTCCACGCTCATTTGTGAATAACAAAGGATTCATTGTGTATTGCATATGTTTATAAACTACACAAATCCAAATATAGAGAAATAAGTTAAAGAACATATCTTGGTTGAATGTGATAATAGAACATAAACATACAACACTGTAGACAACTTGAAACTTCAAATGAAATACTCAGAATAAGAATACTGTCCAGAAAAAATAATAAAAGAAATAATGGAGAAATTTTGTAGTAGGGAATTTTAATAGATCCATTCATTCATCCATCAATACTCCAAAATGTTTCGATGGCCCACGCTTAGAAAGATGATCTGCAACGGCTTTCAAAACTGTTTGCCAGCTTCCAACTACCACTGTACAAAAAAACAAAAAAATACTCTACACTGACAGCCCACATCACTATTACCGAGTTAGAAGAAACGACCCAAACTCAGTACCAAGACCAGGCAGGGAAACAAGCCCAGTTACATTAGCCAATCGTAAAGAAAGAAAAGATGCGTACAGAACTAGTAGGCCAATCCCAAATCCTTTGCTAAGAGTCATTCCCCGCATTGGTAATATGAACATCGCCCACAATAAACCAACATACAAAAATCCAATGGTGTAGAACAAGCTGTAGTCAGTTGGAATGACGAATGCTGCAGGATAGGACTTCCAGCTCGCGAATAGAAAAGATAACCCCAGACCAACCAGGGTGTTGAACATCGGACCTGCGTAACAACCTGAGACCGCAATCTGCACTCCATCGTTGCCATTGAAAGAAAGAGCAATATTTGACATGAGGTCTCCAATTGAATTCCCCCAAGCTAGGACAGTTAAGCCAAGGATTGCTGCATCAATCTCCAATAGGACACCTAAGGCTACCAGCGCTGCAACAAGCTCGTTTGCGATGAGATAGAACCAAACGATACTCATGATAAATCCACCAAACGCCCAAGGGAATAAGAACCGTCGAGGTGGATGCTCTGCTTTTATGGTGAAATAAGAGACGAGTCCCAGAAATGCACCTAGAGTGAGGCCAAAGATGTAAACGTTGGAACTGATACCAAATGGATGGCCGTCGTTTCCATCCCAGACTGCCGCCAACAGAGTGGGTGCTAAAATTGCACTTCCGATTGCGAAGGGACGGGACCAGCGCGAATCTTCAACCACAGGTATAGTCAAGCGTCGGGGCAGGATGAGGGGCATCCACATGAGCTGCCAGCAAAGCCTTCGGGGAGATCTCTGTGCCTGTATCTCGGCTTCTTCTTGCTCGCTCCAGCCCCACAAAGGACGAGAAGAACCCTCCAATGTGGCCAAGCCCTTGTGGGAATAGATGGCAACGTTGGACGTCCACATCCACTGAGGTAGGGTGTTCTCCGTCATGGTCTCTTCACCGAAAGAACCTGATCCTTCCTCGTCAGCGAGGGAATTTGAACTTAAAATTAGCGGCTCCAAAGCGTACGATGGTTGACGTTTTCTGCGATCTTGAGTCTTAATAACCTCTCCTGCTGCAACCATAAAACCATACACCAAATATATGGAGATGTACACAAATGCCCCCCACAAGTGTAGTTTCCCGATAACTATGATCAGCAGGAGAGACACCAGAGTAACCATGAAAAACCCAACGTCCCTGAGGAAGCAGTTGCGATCCAGGTGTAACGTCCCAGCACCATGCACGCTAGAGACCACGAGCGCAACTGATCCTGCTACGACGGATGTCACAAACATCGCGCCCCCAAGGACGCTATTCAACCCTACCTGGCCATTACTCGATCCTGTAAATGCAGCAATGCTAGCAAAGACGTCTGGAGCTCCATTACCCAAGGGCAGAAGCGAAACCCCAGCCACAGTGGGTGGAAGATGCAGCAGTTTGGATAATTTCTCCAACGAAGAGCAGAAGAAGTCAGCTGCAGTGTTCCCAAGCATGTAAAATAGCGCCATTAACCACACGAAGTACATCACGTACCCGATAAGTGGAAACTTTCCAAAAGTGCAGTAGAACTGCTCAGTGTATTCAATCATCGTCCCGGAGTGGCACTCGGGATTAGCTCGCACATAGGAGCAGGAGTCCGGGTACCCTACATGGGCTTTCACATTGACACAAGCCTTGAAAGTGTCCTTCAATGTAGTCTCAAAGTCTACACGAACTGATGTATTGTGCAAGTTTGAAGACGCTCCTACATCCACTGGCTCACTGTGCTGAGGACCGCCATTCAATTTGCTGCCTCCTACATTCGAAATTCTCTCCGCCGAGGTCTCCCTTATGTTTCCCGTTGTAAGTTTCCACTCCCTCGATCGGAAGTCAAGATTTTCACCTTCCACACCCAGCAATAGCCTAAAAGCCCCCTCCCTACCGCCATAGAGTCCCGATGTGTACAAACTATCCCCTTCTAGGTGAAATTTGCCCGAAGGCACATGCGGTATGTAACCCGATTGACGCAGGACGGTAAGGAAAAAAATCACTGACACAAGACGTATAAGAGATCGAATTCTATTTCTTCCGGCCATCCTGCTCATCTCCCCTCAACGAAGTTTCGATACGCGTTGAAAATGCAGCAAGTCACACAACAACCCTAAATTGGCAGAGCTCAGCCGAAAACCCTAACAACGCAAGCCCCAGTGCAACTTCGACCTGCATCAGCTTGATTCAATCGACCCTCCACGTGCAACGCTACTATTTCTATACCCCCCAATCATCCCACTCAGAGCGATGCATCCGCCATCCCTCCACCTCGACGTACAACAGCACACGGTAAGTGAATGGAGGCGATCCCAGCCTAGGATTAACAGACTTAACCCAGCAAGTTGATCACTGTATAGAGCTTCAGGAATTTTTTATCGGCGACTGAATGACAATACAGATCCTAGAAAAATGGAGCATCAGCGTTGAATCTGCAATGCCCGGGCTTCAAAGGGGAATTGGTGACCGCGTGGAAGAGATGAAGTTGGCGACTGCGAGGGTGACGCTTCTGTGCACGAAGAGGCCTTCCCACCAGCAAGCAAACTACGCAACGGCCAATTATGCTAATTGAGAAGAGAAATCACCGTCCATCGAAGGGGTTGAGGGAGTGAGCACGCGATGGGTAAGGCAGACTGTCACGGTGGGAGAGAGTAACTATCTCGCAAAATGGGGGTTCAAGAAAGGGGGCCATAAGAAGGAAGGAAGCAGAGCGTGAGTGCATATGACATAATGCATGAGCAGGAGTGGCAGGACGAGCAGTCAGTCAGTCAGCCAGTCCCCAGTTTCTCTCTGTCCTCTCCTCTCCTCTGCCCTGCCCTGCCCTCCCCTCTCATGCGGTGCCCCCACGAACACTACCCAAATACCAACCAACCAAACAAACAAACACGGAAACACACAATGACACAAAGCAGACCAAGCAAAAGTGCCTCCGCGCTTGTACTTGCTTCCTGCCACATCCCCATACTCATCCCCATCCCCCATTAATCCCCTCTCGCAGTCACCGTCGCAGTCGCCTTCATTGTTGTTGTTATTATTGTTGGTATTGTGTTGTGTTGTGTTGTTGGGCCATTCTGGTGGTGTCCGACTTTCTATCCTTCCCCATTTTGCAACTATTTTTGCATATCCGGGTTTGAGCTGGTCATGGAGTTTGAACTTTGCAAGGACATTTCCTACAACCATGTCTCTGAGTAATGATTGAATATCCCCTCAAAATACAAAATTATTGTTTGCTGGATTATATCTCGTGAGTATTCAACAACAAACAGGTTTGTATAAAAGTAATAATCCAGCAACATAATCAAAATACAAAATTATTGTTTGCTGAATTATATCTCGTGAGTATTCAACAAATTAGATATAATTTGTCCATTACCATAACATCATCAGATGTTGTCATTAGAAACATTAAATGAATAGAAAACCATCTATTGAATTAAGAATCAGTGAAATGATCACTTTCAAATTATAATTCAAGATCAAAAAACTTGTGATCTATGAGCAACAAAGCATTGACAAAATTATAATTTAAGATCAACAAACCACGATCCAATGAGTCATGGCACTTCAACATGCAACGAGGTTGTTGTAGTGCATGAAGTTAGAAATGAAAAGAAAGTTTATAAAAAAACATTAAGATTTCGTATACAATTTATATATATATATATATATATATATATATTTATTTTGTATAAGATCAGAAAAAAGCGAGAGAAAGAACATGTATATATTAAAAAAATGTAGTAAAGTGAGTGGGCAGATACAACAATTCAATGAAGTAGAAAAGTACTATCTATGAGACTATAAAATAATATCAAAAAGTTATAATTTCTTTTAATTTAAAATTATTATTAATATTATTTAAAATAAATTCTGTTGATCTTATTATTTAACTTAAGGACTTGACAACAATAAACAATGATTTTTTTTTAAAAAAAAAAAAAACTCTAAGAATTTCTACTTTGTTAACTTGTTGTATCCCAATTTTTGAATTGAGATAATAAGTAATAGTTTTTTTTATTAAAAGACAAAAACTAGTAAACATGTACATGAAAAATTTGTAAAAAATAATCTTTTTTATATAAAAATTGAAATACTTAAAATACATAAAAATTACATGTAATTATAATATTAGTGTAATTTTATTTTTAGATTTGTTTTTGTATTATAATTTAATACTATATATATATATATATATATATATATATATATATTTTTCCTGAATGTGTGTTTTATTTTTCATTATTTTATTTGATTTTTTTGATATGAATGAAACGAATTTGTAAATTTTTATTAATCTTTTGGCTTTAGGGTGCGATGAAGGTTGAAAGTATGAAACGCAAGCGATGGACAAAGGGTGGCAAGTAGGAGACTTGAAGTGATGAGACAAGAAATAGATGCGAGAGCTACGATTGAAATGAACCTGATCAGACTGGATCAGACAGGATGGATGGGATCGATGACTGCTTCATGGCAATCTGGCATTACAGGGGAGGAGAAGGAAGGGGGAAGGAGGAAGAGAAGCAGAAAGACTCCTTCGCCCTTCTCCACATCCGTCTCTGCCTGTTTGCCAACATCATGTTGGCACTACTATAGGTTGCTTTACCCCGCACAACACAACACAACTATGTTTGTCTGATTGGTTGATATCTATTTATATACTAGTGGAAACCCATGTTGTTGGGCATAGAAAAGTTGTAAAATGATCCAATGTACATATAGCAAATTGGAGATCTTTTTGCAGGGTATGCATGCCTTTTTGATGGTTAACAATATCATTGATTTTTTTGCTGATGAGAAGGCTTTTTATGTCTTTGTTTTATACCTAAGCTTCTTTATATAGATATACACAACTATGCATAGACATGATTATTGTAAAATTTGAATAGTAAATGATATTCCTAAAGAAATAAAACTACTATGCATTAATTTTATATCATCAAATATATAAGTATATCATTAATGTATTTTTTTAATATTTGAAAAAAATACAAAAAACTTAAAAATGATTGATGAGCTTTACATATACAAACTAGCAAAAATCAATGCCATTCAATACAAAAAAGCCATAAAATTTTAATTTGTGGTTGCTAAGTCAAAAATTGATCACTTCAAAAAAATGTCAACCAAGAAAAGAAAAGAAAAGAAAAGTATGCACATAATAATGGAACAATTTATATTTCTTCAATGTCATTGACAAATAAAATTCTTGATACACTACATATTAGTGCAATAAAAAAAGAGATTTGAGTATTTCCTTTTTAAAGCATTAAAAACATAAAAAATAGATTAGATCTACCTTAAAATTATAATTTTTCCATCCACTTTTGTTGATTTATGTGAGCCAATTATGGAAGTATAGTATATGAAAGATAGTAATTTAAACAATAATATGAAAGACTAATTTTTTTATATCATGCAAGCATGTATTATTATAAAGTTTTGAATATAATTAAAAACACTACTTATAGACTTTACTATAAAGTCTCAAGAATTTCTAGAAAAATATTAATAAATAAAGCCTTATAATTGAACAATATCATAAGTGCAAAATATAATTTTAAGAACTTTTTTTAATGAAAAGAGATTTTTTGATACAAAATGAGTATACAAAATTAAACAATTAATAATACAAAGACAATTGAAACTCTACCAATTGATTGTTAAATTTGAAAAAAATAATCTTGAAACATGAAGATCAATTGATTAATATGGACATATCTATAAGCTAATTCATATACACAAAATGTTGTTTATATTAGTATGTGTGTGAGAAAAAAATAAAATGAGAAATAAAATCAAATAATATTATAATCATTTTATTCATTTATTTATATATTTTCTTATTAAAAAAATAGTCCTTTATAACCATTTGAACATACAAAAATATATCAAGGATAAAGAGTCAATGAAAGAAAATAAACAAGTGAATCTCTTTCAAAAAATATGAAAAAATAGAAATAGAGAAGTATATATTAAAAAGAAAACTGGAATGGCTATGTCACGGACCAAAAATACAAACAAGAAATCTAAACAAGAAGTTCAAGAAGAAATGACAAGAACTAGATTATCAGATGAGTACAAGAACAACACCAGAAAGGTGAGCTAGAACTCCAAGAGATGTGTTGTCGAGACTGAAGAACTCTTCAGCCTCGACTCTTATATATACTACTGGCCTATGGTTCTAAGGAAGTGCATCAAGAAGCTTCCCAAGAACTATGAAGCTTCTCGAGCAACTACCCAAGAGCTAGGAAGCTTCTCAAGTAACTTCCTAGAATCTACTAGAATATTCTAAGAATCTTCTAGAGCCTTCTAAGGGAATCTTCAAAGAATCTTTAGGGAATCTTTGAAGAATATTCTAAGAGAATATTAAAGGAATCTTCTAGAAGTTTCTAGAGACTTCTTTCTAGAAGATTCTAGAAACTTGTCTCTAGAAAGGTCTAAGGACTATGTCCCTAACATCACTTCCTCCTTTAGCTTTGAGGTCTCCGAGAAGTAATGTTATCATCAGTCAATACCAACGCAAGAAAATGAAGATCTGTCGCATAACCTCTGCTATGAACTCCAATTGTTGTTCACGAGGCAAGTGATTCAATGGTCCTTGAAGCCAACGGTAGTGGCCCACGCCTTCAACTTCTGACCAAGCATGAACCTCCGTGTCTTCATTGTGAAATTGTCCTGCAAACACTTCTTCTGGCTGACCATTGTAGGCAGGCTCGACCTCAAATACAATCACCAGCGATCTGTTGCTCGGAATCCTTCGATGTCGTCGTAGTACAGGCGGTTCTTCATCTCGTGGTCGTCTTCGTGAGCTAGTTGCTTGAGATGACATGACAAGTGTAGTATCTTGGCTATCCATATTCAAAGGCTAAAACAATAAGAACAAACTTGGGCTACTAACAAAGTTCTACGCTATCTTGGAGATAATGACTACATCAACTATGGATTTTGGTGGTGCTCTTTCCTCTTTTCTGTTTTCTGGATGAGCAAGCTTCAGTAAGAAGCTATCGTCGAACCGGCTTGGGTTTCTCAGGATATCGTCGATGAAACTCTTGTACCTTTTGCGGCGCATTCGCGAGATTTTTGGCCGACTCTCATGTTTGTTCATTAATATCGTAACCGCTCCAATGCACAAAGTATTCTAATTTACCCCGTCTTTGCCGTGAATCCAGGACCTTTTCCACCTCGTATTCTTCGTGGTTCTCTATTTCTATGCTAGGTGGTGGACATTGTACTCTTCCAGGAAAAGACGATTCTCGATAAGGCTCCAACAAAGAAACATGAAAGATAAGATGTACCTTCATAGTAGCTGGTAATTCCAGACGATACGCTATAGGATTGATCTGCTTCTGGATAACAAATGGTCCCAATCTCCGATAGCCTAATTTGTCACATGGCCGCTTGGTCTTAATATTTCGTCGAAGTAGCCAAACTTTGTCTCCAATCGTGAATTTAGGTGCCTGATTCCGAAATTTATTCGCGGACGCCTTGTAAGATTCTTGGGCAGTTTGCAATTGAAGCTTCAATGTAGTTTGAAGCTGCGAAAGCTCCTTCACCAATCCTTCAGCTGCCGGATTGTTAATCGTTGACGAACTCCATAAGTCAAGCTTCAGATGGTATCCATAATTGAAAAAGAATGGTGTTTGTTGAGTTGACGCATGAAGGGTGTTGTTATATGCGAACTCGGCTAGCGGTAGATATGCGACCCAATCATCTTATTGATAGTTGATGGTGCAACGTAAATATTGCTCTAAAACTTGATTCACCCGTTCTATTTGGTCGTCCGTTTGAAGATGAAATGCCAAAGAAAGCTTGATATCCACCTTCAATATTTCAAAAAGAGATTTCCAAAACTTTGACACAAACTGGGTTCCTCGATCCGATACGATATCATCTGGTAGA